TAACCAAATAACAATTCCACAATGAAAGAAACATATGGGTTTGCTTCAGCAGATTTTGGACCAAAGATGTTGTAATAGTTGTATCAAATAATTCCTATGCACCAGTTTAAAAAAGTAGAAATATTAATGATATACAATGGTTCCTTGGCATAGGAATATTTATGTAACATTGTTCATTTATCTCGTTACTTCCTAGTTGTTTTAATCCTCTTTAAGTAAAGTGGGATTGTAAACTGCTCACTGTAGATTACCTACTGGAGTGGCATATTAACCTAGGGAAGGAAGGAAGGCAGCCAGGCAGGCAACCACTACCAAAAGCTTCATTTTCTACACATTATAATTATTATAACATTAATGCGTTTTGAAAAACTTGAAGGATTAACAAAATAACCAGTCTAATATATAACCTATTACTTATGCTGATTGTACTGAATAGGTTAAAACAGAAGATAACTCTACCCTTAGTGCAAACTAGGCAGCAGAATAAATAGCTTGTTTCAAAACTGACAATGTCATTATATAACAAAACAGCTCAGGCACTATACTTTGAACAATATTCAGAAGCAATACATGATTATAATGCTATAACAAGAACACAGAACATAAAAGTTTTCTTAAAATAATAACAACACTGTTCTTAACTCAACAAGTACCATACTTACAAAGACAAAGACAAAAATTCCATCTGCATATACAAAAAACTATTCACTGCAGAAAGTAAAACTGTAAAGTCTTGAAAAAATAAACAGTAGAAGACAGCTCAAAATGTAGATAAGGCTTTTCAATCATTTTAAAATCTATTTTTGAAAACTACTACTTCTCTGAGCAACTCATGTGATTGCCCAAAATCAGGGTATTCAGATTCTGCTAAATAGAATATTTCCAGTGTTTCAGTACTAGATGACTATAAAGATATCAATACCTCCTTAATGGGAAAGAGATTCAGGTCTGTTTAGAAAAGGAGGCAAAGAAAAGATATCATTCCAATAATGATATATCTATTTATTGAGAACGGGTGTCCAACTAATTTCCCAAGCACATCCAGGTACATTTTCCACAAATCACCTGTTCAGGTTCCACTGCAGCTCCACCTGTCTTGACTGCAGACAGGAAAATGCATAATAGCGTAGAAGAAGGTTTACTTCAGAGAAGGAAAAAATGTCAGCGCAGAACAGTTAATTCTGACATAATAAGGAGAAAGAAAAGAACCAGGATAAATGTACTGGTAAAATTTAATCATTCTTGCTGAACTTGTCTACAGATCTCAGTAAAGGCTGGGCAGGTTGAGTAATGACTTACAACACCTGAAGCATGGCAAAACCTGAATGAAGTAAATTGCCTAGCAGATCGAAAGAATGCCAGCCATTCTTTTTGCAAGAGATCTAAGAACTCTTGTCAGTTTGTAAAGCGATAAGATATGAGCCAGTCCTCCCTAACCAGGTATCTGTTTTTTTTTAGATTTTTTATCCCGCCTTTATTATTTTTATAAATAACTCAAGGCAGCAAACATAGCTAATACTCCTTCCTCCTCTTATATTCCCCACAACAACCTTGTGAGGTGAGTTGGGCTGAGAGAGAGGGACTGGCCCAAAGTCACCCAGATAAGGTGGAACTGCAGCTTCCAAATTTCAGCCAGCCTGTTCAGTCTCAATATAGATAGTCCCCAGTTTAAGAATGAGTTCCGTTCCCAAGGTCTGTTCTTAAGTCAAATTTGTATGTAAGCTGGAACAGTATTATTGTATAATACTGTATAAGTAGTATTGTGTAATTAATTCGAACCACTGTGTATTTAACTCGAATCATTGTGTATTTAACGCAAATTTTGCTACAATAGGCTCAACTATGAGTCATCTGTAAACTGGGTGTTCTTAACCCAGGGACTACCATTTCCAGGGAAAGATACAATGGCTGAAGTGCATAAAATTTAAACCAGGGTGCTTTTTAAGCGATGTCCATACTCTCCAAGCTGCAGAATCTCTTGACAGATCTTTCACCCAGTATATTCTATTCAGCTAGAAATGGGATAGCAAGAATATCTTTGAGACTAACCCAAAAATATTCAAATGACTGAAAGCCACAAGAAACAGTCCTAGTTCATGAAAACACATTAAGTCAGAAAGTTTACTTGCTTTTGGCTTAACATGTTGGATGAACCCAATTATTGTGGTCTATACAGGCAGACCCATGGTTAAGAACTTCTGACTTACGGACAACTCATACTTACAAACAGACTGCCTATTACTAAAAATGGTGGACAGCGTTCTCCTGCCATGAGCCGACTAACTGCTGAAGCCGCGCAATGTTTTCAGGAACTGCTGAAGCCACGTGTTTTTAATATACAGCCTGTTTTCAGTGGTTTTCAGCAGTTCATAAAAACATCACACAACTTCAGCATTTCGTCAGCTCAAGGAAGGAGACCCCCGACTGCCATTTTTAGTAATAGGCAGCCTGTTCATAAGTACGAGTTCTGACTTACATACAAATTCGAGTTAAAGATAGGCTTAGGAACGGAACTTGTTCTTAACCCAGGGACTGCCTGTACCATGATATGGTTATATCTTTTGTATTGACTGCAGCAGTTAATCATGGTTATTCAATAAATTATATCTAAATCATATCTAAACCATAGCTCAATACATGTTGACCTAGTCAAAATCTTCTTCCAACCTTTTTCCTTCCCTAGGAATCCAAATCATAATCCACACTGATGTTACAACATTTTCCTTATCCATCTCAATTTCTAGAGTAAAAATTGCCCTTTCTCAAAATTCCAACTTATTTTGTTTTAATCCTGCAGGTACCCTAAATCACTGAGAATCCAACCCTGATCTCCACAGCTCTCTCCCAATGTTGTTTCTTGGTACTGAGAACAGTGACATAATGTTGGTGACTGTATGTTTCTGTGATTAACCATATAATTCAAGCAAGCCTTCAACTGTATCTGAGAAGAAATTACTAGGGTATTCTAAATTCAACTAAAAAACACCTGTAGAAGTATTTTTTTTATATGCACACTTTGGGAAATGTATATAGACAGACTAAATTTGTAAGGTCCTGAAAAGTAATTTCTGCAGGGACACAAACATTGCTGGTACCACTGTCACATATTTGTAGTTGTAGTTGTGAGCACAAGTTGAGATACATGTAGCTGCTGGAGAGAAGAGAGAATGTGGCAAGGAACAGTTTTAAAGTTAGTATCTGTTTTTATGCCATTTTTCTGCCAGAAAGCCTAAAAATAGCATAAAATAATTAAAAGCATCTAAGCAGAAAAACAGAACAATTTAAAATACAAATATCTTCCCAAAAAATCAAACATTAGGGACTGGGGTAATTCAATTTTCTATAAAAGTCTGACAGAAGAAGGTATTTTTTACCATTTGCTGAAAAGAAGAATCTAAGATTTCAGAATGGGAGTTCCAATTGTGGGCTAGGTCAGTTCTAGAGAAGGCTGTACAATATTCTTACCAACATCACTTTTATCAGTGCCAGCATGCAAATCAGAACTATTTCAGCTGGCAGCGAACCTGGAAGTAATTGAACCTTTAGATAAACCAGACTTCCCCATCTTAGTGCCCCCCAGCTAAGTACTAAGGATATTTCAACTCAGATGAAAGTTTGCAATAAGGCTTTCCAATGGCATTTATTTTCTTTTTATAAGAAAGAAAGAAAGAAAGAAAGAAAGAA